CCTCTTATAGCCAAAATATTCATAAGTAATAGAGGAAATGAGGTCTAGGGTAGAGGCCTGAACAGAAGGGAATTTGGCAGCAGCAACAGCTGATGATTGTTTTATAAGAAAGAGGCAAATTAAGGGGACAGACCAAAATGCTTCTTGATGTATAGGAAGAGTTAGCACAGCCAGAGCAGCTTTGAACTTCAGCATGAGAATGGCACTCAGGTTTTGTCAATATCATGACAATGATACTAATGATATTCAACGAAAGGGGTAGGAATACTAATTAGTTGGATTCTTAGAACCTGGTGAAACAGTATAAGAGCAAAACAAGACAGTGGGAGAGTAAAAACTGCCTTTTCACTTTATAACTAAATGGTTTCGAAGTATATTCCCCAGCTGTAGGTCTAAAGGCTTAAGTCTTGTGGAACATACTTGTGGGTATTTTAAACCTGAATCTTTATATGGAAGAAGACTGAAGACAGCAGGGTTTTTGGGGGTGCATGTGTGACTATGTATGTTTGTGTGTGTAGATCTTCCCAGTGAAGTTTATGACCTAGACTAGTCACGGTGAACCTATGGTATGCATGCTGCAGCAGGCTGTTTGTATCACTAAAAACTCTTAAGGTTCGGCATCACTGACCTAGATTGACCTCCTCAGTGTAACAGTGTTCTAGGTAATAAGATTAGCTGGCTGTGATCTCGTCCCCCAGTAAGCTGGGTACTATAGAAGGTGTATGTCTGTTTCCTGCAAACACTCCTATTCAAAACAAAGCCCTGTCAGCCTTGAAGGAAAGCTGACAAACTAAAAGACTTGGGAAGGGGTTATTACAGTTCAGAGTGGTTCCTTGAAGGACAACTCTTACTAACAGGCAGTAATCAGTTTCTAATTTAACTAAAAAAAAAAAGGGATATTTAACTTGCTTTTACTGCTTTCTTCTTATGCTAAAGATTTGAGCTCCTTTGTTTCTGGTATAATATATTAAAATGCTAATCAATCTGTCCTTCTAGCTTGAAACTGAATTTTTCCAATATACTCATTCTGCAAATATTTATTGGCTACCACATGCCAGTGAGTGAGTGAATGTAGGTGGGACGTGATGAAGGGAGGAAACGAGCAAAGGAAAAAGGGAGGTTAGGGGAGAAAGGAGATGAGAAGGAAAAAAATGTAGATAAGGATAAAGAGAAATACAGACAAGAGCAGGAGGGTGGGAGAGATGGAGAGAGTCAGAAAACAAGCATATTTTCAGATGCCCAAGTGCAGAAGAGAAAACTACAAATGGGCCCTAGGGAATGGAGCTGTATTTCAATTCGATTAGGAAAATAGACCCTAAAATACTGAAAAGATTTGGTGCTAGAGGAACTACTGGCTAGAGAACACTGAAGAAAGATAAAACTGTCACAGCATCCTTCCATCAGGCTCCTGTCACCGCCTACTTCTAGAGATACTTCCTGTCCCGCTGCCAGTGAGCAGGTGCTGGCCGGCTTTCATACTAACTCGTAGCTCTCGTTCTCCAGATTCCTCTCCCACACACTACCTGCCCCTCCAAAGACACAGAAACCCTCAAAAAAACCCCTACTTCCTTTGTAGCTACCATCCATTTGCACTCCTAGTCTGGGTGTCTTCCCTGGGTTGGAAAACTAGCACCCTGGGTGGGCTGGCATTTTGGCTTGGGAGAGAAAGGGTAGCCTCTTGCTCTTTCTGAACAGGTTTACGTTATTAGACCCAAGCTCATGCTAGACTGTGCATGAGCACTGACAGGGTGCCCAGCATCACTTATTACACTTGCTTTCGCGGATGCACTTTGAAAGAGCCTCTGTGGAGGGCATCGTCAACAGCTCTGCTCATTCACATTCATCCTGTGTGCAGCGTGCTTGGACCATGGCAGGCTGACAGCCGCATGCATGGTGCCACCCGCCTCTGGCACTGTCTCCAGCCATTCCACTGCTCTCTCGAACAAGTCCAAGAAATAGAAAAACATAAAAAGCTATTGTCCATGTCCAGTGAGAAATGAAATGCACTGGAGCAAGTATCACAACTTCCTTAAAATAATACGCCACTTTATCACTTTTGCATGTAGATCCTGCTTGTGGTTTGCAAAGTCATAAACCCCTTGAAATCAATGCCTTGAGCCATTGCTGCTTTATTCTAATGCATCCTTTAAAAAAAAAAAGCAACTTATTACTAACTCAATGGCTTCACCTTCTCTAAAATACTTAGTCCATCTCGTGCTTTGCTTTGTAGTGTTGGCCACCATCAGAAGATTTGAAGCAATTTATTAATAAAAGAACATGCCCTATAGCTTTGGCCTATGAAAACAGTTTCTGAATAACAATGTAGCCACAGTGCAAAGTTTACTTGTCTAAAAATAATTAATGGCATATATAACAAATCTTTACTTTATTTACCCTAGAGCTTTGATGGAAGCTCCTAAGTGATAGATATGACCTCTTGTGGAAAGCCCATGGGAGAAAACACATTGTTTTCTACCAGCAACTACCCCCATGCCCTCTATTACAATGAAAACTACAAGGCAAGAATAATTCAGCTTCAAGAAGGATTTTAAAAGAACAGCACATATTTCCCACTTTCAAGAGCAAGTTTGGCTTGGGAGAGAAAGTCTAGACTTCAGCAGGGGCGCAATATTCATCAACAACGACCAGATCATGCCAGTTTGATCTCCATAACCAAAATCTTTCACTAGGATCTCTCTCAACCTGCCCTATCCTCCAGTCTTCTCCTGGGAAGAAACAGGAATGCATCAAGAATGCATCAAGATGCTCAAGCCAGGGAAAGAAAACTGTCTACATCACAGTGAACTCATTTATAAAATGAAAGCAGTGGACCAGAGAAATTGAAGTCCTTCTAGCACTACTGATTCTTGAGGGCTGCAGCCTATAGAAGTTGCATGTGGAAAGGGCCGCAGAGACCACTGATAGGTGCTTCAGGCATCAGGAACAGCCCATCCACGTGCCTGAGAATTCCTGAATTGACTTAAACTAATTCAAGATCTCCTCAAAGGAAAACAGGTTAACTACTTAAGCAATGAAGAGTCCAGTGCTCAGCACACAGCAGATACTTGAGGAACATGAATCCCTTTGCCCTATAGCTCACGGAAATGACTGCCCCTTGGTACAGGTTTTTATTTCAACTCAGCACAATGCTGAATTAGTCCAGGGAGCTCCAATGTTTACCACCACATGCCACCCAAAATCTCATCTCACCCTGCCCTATTCTAGCATTTAAAGATCTACCAAACTGGAGATACCTGGACTAGCAAGAGGAAGGTACATTTCACAATAGGCAATGGCACGAATGAATCATGAATACATTATCCTAAGCAAAAGAAGCTAGTCACAAAAGGTCACATATTACATTATTTCATTTATCTGAAATATCTGGACCAGGCAAATCCATATAAAGAGAAAGTGGATTAGTGGTTTCCAGGGGCTGGGAAGAGGGGTCAATGGGGAGTGACTGGTAATGGGTATAAGGTTTCTTTATGGGGTGATAAAATGTTCTGGGATCAGATAGTGGCTACAGTAATGCAGCTCTGAATACTGTATACTAAAAACACATTAATTATTCTCTTTTAAAGGGTGACTCTTATGGTACATGACTATCTCAATAACACTGTTCTTAAAAATGCAAAGAAGAAACGGAGAATGTCACCACAGTGACTGTAAAAAGACCTGGGAAAAGGAAAGACTCTTGAATTCATCGTCTGGAATGGAAGCTCTCCATGTGTAAGACTCACCAATTACCAAGAGGGGATATTATCTCACTGTGAGCCTTCCTGACTAAATATGAGGACCCCCTTGGAAGGAATGCAAGCACTTCCTCAGTCTGAGAAATGAGGAAATAGTGTACAAAGTAATTTGCATTAAGGTACCTGCTCCATCCTTCTTAGGCAGGTATGGAGACTGGATGAAGCCACCTCTGTGAGCAGCCCGGTGGGTTTCCAGTTTTCAGACAGATTCCTTGAAGATGGTTATATTGGCTGCATTTTTCATTTTCATGCTATATCTCTTAAAAAAAGAGGGAGCCTATATCTACATTTTTCAGGGCAGGAAGCTAAGCCTCTTGGACAGTAAATAATCTCCTCAGAGTTCTCAAGCATGGAAAGCCTAGACAGTTCATGGGTGCTCTGTCCCTGAAGGACATAAACAATTCTGCCATTTGAAGAGTGAAAACAATGGTTGGGCTTTTCCAGCCTTTAGTCCTTCAACACAGTGTGTTAAGAAACTGCCTGGTTAAAGCATTAGACCCCAACCATCTGAAGAAAAGAAAGGGAAGAAAGGGAAGGAAGGAAGGAAGGAAGGAGGGAAGGAAGGAAGGAGGGAGAGAGGGGGAGAGGGAGAGAGGGAGGGAGGGAGGGAGGGAGGGAGGGAGGGAGGAAAGATGGGAGAGAGCATATGAGAGCACCAGAGAAGGCTGCAGACTCAGACTTTTTTTTGTTCCAGGAGTATATGAGAGAAGCCGATTTCTTTTTCAAAGTTCAAAGGAAACGATGTGTTTTGTTTTCATACTTCGTTTCATTTCTACTTGGGAAAAAAAAAAACCCTCAACTTTGAAGCCTCCCTGTTTAAATTCATTAGGAAAACTATCAATGACGGAAGCTTTCATGAAATTGTAGTGGGAGGAATTAGTGTTAAGGGAGAGCTGGATCAATCTTCAAATGTTTCATCTATGGAGACGGGAGGTCAGCATTAGCTGCTTGTTCAGCTGGAAAGTTAACATAAACAAATGCTTCACTTGCTGGAGAGTCCAAGGGACTGAAGGTATGTGATATTCCCCCTCCAAGTACTTGCTCAGAAGCCAGCTCTGCCTGCCACATTAAAGAGATAGTCACCTGAAGAACTAAGTGAGCAAGCTGACTGGCAAAATGTCTTGCCTTATAGAGAAAGGTGTTTCTCTAGAGGTAGTGATATCCACATTCACAGCAGCACAAGATCTCCTGTGTAATTCATAACTTTATTGAAGTTGACATGGAAATCTTTTTAGCAAGGCTGGTACTAATATACATGGATATCTTTGTTGATGGGGATATCTTTTTAAAAGATTTTTTTTTAACCCGTTGAAGTTTCATTTGGCAAAACTAAACCACGATGATTTTTAAATGTTTTTTATTCATAGAGCATATTCTACCATCCATCTGATTCATTTGAAGAGAGATTAGGATGAAAAAGTTAAGGACTGCAGGAGGATGTGTAAACATAGGCTAACAGAGAGGCCTGGTAGAAGGAGAGAAGAGATGGGGCAGGGAGAGAAAACAAAAAATTAACAGGTATCACTGCTATGTCTAAAGTCCTTGTGGAAAAAAGAACGCTAAAAAAATGTCTTTGTGCCTAGGACACAGCATGAATGAAGTCACTGCCAATCTGAAATTCTCCAAAGGAGTACTTAATGTTTAATATTTTCATTTTTTTTTGCAAGAATTACATATGGCATATGCAAATATTCACAGGCAAAAGAACATAACACACACCTATGCCATTGTGTATGTGCATGTTCCTGAGTGCATATGTACATCTTTAAAGAACACAGGCATAAAGCAATTGTGATCTGATTGATTAGCAGAGCTGGGTCTCTTCTTGCCTGGCTCACACCAAGGCCAAACTAGAGTCTATTATTTCAAATCTTGGTAAAATTTAGCAGAGCTAGACTTGAGAAGATATTAGCTGTGGATACCTTTTCATTTCTCTCTCCTAAGAATAGATGACAGATTATTTTGTAGACATCTAGCCCTCTCTTGCTCTCCCGTTCAGCTGAGGAGAAAATAAAGCACAAAATGAAACCTACCCAAAGCCTGGAGCAATCTTTGCCTAACTTAATGAGCAACTAACTAATCCACAAGGAGAATATCCGTTACTTATACAGTCATAATGCAGACACAACATGGCATGTAAATCAGTAACTCTTGTATTGCAAAAGAGACAAATAGATTAATGCATGTTGCAAAGGACGGGTGAAGGGATCGATTAGGTTACTGATTCAGACCATGAACTTTCTCTCAATATACTGCATTTAACTTTTAAATAAGGTTTAGGAGAACCTGTAACATTTTGCTCACTGACAGAGCTATATTTTACTAAGGGCTGAAATTGGCTAGTCTATAAAAATTAAATTATGCCCCTTTCACTGTATCTAGTCAAGAGGAAAAACTCTAATTACAAGATTGCACTGTCAAACAAATGCAAATTCACATTCTTTATATCCTGGTTTAAAAATTCATACTGGAAGGGGGAGGTTTCTATTCTGAAATGAAAATCAGTATTTGAAATATTTTGTGGAATGCAATGATAAACAAGAGCAAAAGAAGTGTCATTATCAAGGATGCTGGTAAATAGACACTAACCCATTACATGCAAAGCTGGTGAGAACAAGTCATTAGTTATGCAAACATTTAAATATCAATTAGTAAGGACAACGAAAGAAGTCCAACCAAACCTCCCTTCCCCAAGGGGCTTATTATTCCAGAAATGACCAAGGAAAAAAGGAGCAATAGAAAATAATCTCAGCACCTAATAGGAATACCACTCTGGGGACTAGGTAAAGGTTAATTTTAAATGTACTTCCCAATTGAAAATTAAATGTACCTGCCTCAAAATTCATAAGAGCTGAGTTTGTAGACTTAATCCAGAAAGGACTAACTGAAGGCTTGGGCATATTGCATCGCTGGTATTTTTTGGGGGAAAGAGTGCCTTTCATTACTGCTTAATGTCAGACAGGCTTAGTTCATTAAAATTTCTTAGTCCATTTAAAGCCCTGATTAAAAAAAAAAATGCCAGTCCACACAGCACTCAAGATTTCAAAAACCCTACTTCATACCCTTTCAACATTCACTTTGCTGTCTGCTCAGCCTGCCTGGTAAACTTGAGGGACATAAAAAACTGTCTAAAACCTTAGAACTCTGCCTGAAGTATTTTTTCAAGCAAGCTTAGTGGTATATTTTATTACTCTATGAGAGGCTGGTGGGTGATATTATAACAGAGGTGTGCAGTTACAGAGCAGGTTTCAAGTGCTTCTTAGTAACAGTTGGCTGACAGACTTGGACCCAACACATAACTTTTTTAGATCTTGTTAATGTACAGTTCAAAAAAATGTTTGTCCAGATCAGCAATTCTTAACTTGGACCACCGCAGAATACATGAGGTGCTTATAAAAGACCCAAAGCCAAATATACCACAAACTTATGAAACGAGCTTCATGTGGACTAGAACAAAACTCCAGGAAGATGCCAATAAACACCCTTAACTAAGAATCAATGGGTCCTTTAAGGTCTAATGTGCAAAGATTCTCAGTACAACATATATTATTAGTTAGCTCTTACTCTGACTTCTACTGGTATCATATAATATGCATTACTTTCTTTTTCCAGAGTGGAGAACTTGACCATGCAATAGAATTAAATGCCGAGTGGTTCTGGCATGGAGTAACAGTCCTCAAAAGAGAATTACCAGATTTCATGATACTACATGTAAAGTGCTAGGAAAGAGCCGGATACCCAGGGCACACACTAAAATTAGCTCGTATTACTGCAATGGTCATGCTACGTTGTACCATTTAACAGTCAATTTTAGGTTTGCTCCCCATTCTTATCGGCAAAAACCTGATTTTTAACAATTACATAATCCTAAACCTGGGAGTGCCTTGGAATTATCAGCCTTCAGATATTGCTCTTTGATGCAGAGACAAATGTATTTGGCTGTTTACTCCCGAATTTAGGCTGAGTCCCTGGCACATACCTAAACCTATTGTCCTTCCCCTCTAAACTAATTTTTCCTTTGCATTCCTCAACTGCTTCATTTTCCAAACGTAACAACTGAGATTATCTTACACTTCCACCTTGTTCCCCTTCTGGCCTTTTGCCTGTGGAAGGAAGAATCTAGTTTGGAAACAAGGTGCTCAACCTGACCACGCTAATAGAAAACAAGCAACCTCAGGCCAGGCACTTAGGAGATTTGTGTGCTCAAGTTTTTTGTATATATTATGGCTGTTCTGACTTACTGTAGCATGCTGTGGAGGAGAGAATGAAGATGAAAAACAGCACTTTGAAAATGGAGTGTGCTGGTATGTATCTTAGATACATATATATGGAGGAAGAAATGTTTCTCAGAGAAAGTAACTTTCTGACTAAAATTTGGTTCATATCCTTTCCTCAACTACATCCCAGGCTATAAAATACAATACTCAGGTAAACTGAAATTTTTAACAGGTCTACAGCACATCTTCATTTAGTGGGGCTCTAAATTTCTGCTTGGAGGAAAGCTGCAAATACTAAAAAGTACCAATAAAGTGTTCCCAGTGATTGACTAAAATCACAGCAGTTCTGCTGATAGAACAGCCTTTTCTTTTTCTCTCAGGTAAAATGCAGGAATAAAGCACAAGTACAAGGGAAATCACTTGTGAAAATTATCCATATCAATCTTAGCTTAATAAAGCACCACTAAGTTTTTGTTTGCTTCTGATTTTTTGAGAGCACACATGACCTTTGCCAAAACAATGGTTGCTGCTTTTCTTGGGACAAGTTGTTCTTGAGAGCAGTAAGTCTTAGACTTTCCAGAAGTGTGCTTTTGGTAGAGAGAATCCACATCACAGCCAATAACGGCCTACAAAGAAGAGCGGACAAGACAATACAGACATCACAGCACAGGGACAAGCTATGCTAGGGGAGCTAGTGGATGTGCCCCCTCAAATGACTGGCTGGTTAGTAACAAGACATTTGCTGGTGTGTTTTGAGAGGAAAATATTCTCCCAAGGTGCTAACTTTAAAACTAGTGCCCTTGCATTGATTTGTCAGTGAGTTAAGGAAAGTACACAACAGTCCTAATCACTTCAAGGGGCTGTGAGCAGTTCATGGACTAAAGGGGAACAAGGCTTTGGTTCTTCAATATCATTCAACACAAGATGCTATTTCACACCTTTTCAATAGCCTTTAAATGGCAAAATTGAACCATCAGTTTGATCTTGAAATTGAAGCAAAAGCTTCACAAATTTTTTCAAAGTTCCAGTTACCTGTTGGCGGGGGGCTTTGAATTCTGATAAGACTATTGGGGAAACTGGGGGTTCCATCTCCAAAAAAATTTTTGCTAACTAGAGTGTGGCCTGCCAGCCACAAATCCTCTTCTTCCCTTGTATAATGCCCAGGATCTCTGCTCAGCTAGCTAAGCTGGCAGGGCAAGGAACAACATTCCTTTGAAAGATCTTGGCAATTTGTGCCTGGAATTTGATGCATTAGATCTAAAATTAAATAAAGATCCTATAGTGTTCTTCAGAGAAATATGGTGTGGCTCTATGACAAAACACATTTTTCAAGCTCTGACCTCTGGGAACTTCAACTAGCTCCATATTTCAGGCTGACATCGCTCACGGGCTCACAGGCTACTGTCTAGTTGCCCAAGCCAGGACTGATTATCCATATATTTTCCACCCTCTGATCAGCCTTTAGTTTAAGGAGGTGAGGGGAGTAAATAAAAAGAGAATCACTGATTTACATGCACTTCCCCTCCCAACTCCCTTGGGGAGAGGCCCTGATAATTAACTCTAATGAGATTAAAGTAACTTGGAACTCTTCATTTTCCCAGCACTATAAAAGTAAATCTGCAATAACCAGAGTGTGTGCATTAAATCAAAGTCAGTCCCTTCTTCTGTAATGTATCGGCCCCCTCACTCTCACGCTGGAGCCCAGGCTGAAGGGCAAAAGGGGAGAGAGTTGCTCGGCTCTTACCAGCACTTTGCTCCATCACTTCTTTCTGACACATGTCTTGAACGTTCACCGTGCAATTCACGATGAACTCAGGGGAGGAGCAGTCATTGTTCAGCTGGAATTCTTCACATTGGTAGCACTGGATTTGGAGCGCAAAACCTGCGGGACAGGCAGTCTGGTTCACACCCAGTGGGCGTGCAGCCCGCCCCTGACACCACCGCGGTTGTCGGCTCCAGAGAGCAGAGGCTCCCACCCCGGGAAGTACGGGGACCCGCACTGGCCCTGCTGGAACTCTGGGTAGTGCTGGATGTGGCTGCAGCTGGCAGGGAGCAGCGCTGGTACCAAGGGTCCTGCAGGATAAAGTGGAATCGTGCCCTCGGACCCAAAGACCCCTTCTTCTGACACAAAGGGCTCATCCAACAACACCCGGAGCCTTTTCCAAAATAGTTGAGAGAGGGAGTGGGTGCAAACCCAAGAGCAAAGTAGCTTTAGAGACAAGCATCCGCTTCAGTCTATGCCAAAGGATTTGCCTAATTGCTAATTGGTTACAAATTACCTAATTACTATTTTGGCACCATTTGTGATTGCATTCACAGACGCCCTTTCAGTTTTATTTTATTTTTGAAGTCATAGTTCCTATGCTTTGGTTCTGAGACTTCCTGGGAAGCCACGCGGGAGTAAGGGAAGAGGTTCTGGACGCCAAGTGCCCCTGCGCCCTAAGTCCTCGGGTTCAGTGGTCCTTCCTGGACCGCAGCCATGGGTGCAGGTCCGCGGCAGGGGTCCCAGTTCCGACGAGCTCACTCAGGAGCGGCAGGTGAAGATGGAGCCAGATACTTGTACCTTCCATCCCTTCAGTTTGGTTGCTTGGGTCTGGGCCCTTCATCTAGATCTAACCACCAGCACTTTCCCGGCCCCTGAGTGTCCACTCCCAGCCCAGGACGATAGCACTCAGCGTGCAGCAACCCAGCCCCGGCACAGCCCGGCCCCGAGCCGCCCAGGGCTCCGTTCACCTGTCGGCGCCGCCGCTCCCAGGGCTTGCCAGAGACGCTCGACAACTTGGAGAGGTTTGGGGAATATCGCCCCCTCTCTCGCCAAGCTATAGCGCGGCGCGGACCCTCCCTTCTCCCCACCCCAGCTTCTACCAACTGTAGCCCGAGCAGCTGCCGCCAGAGTCGCGAAAATCCGCCGCTCCCCGCTGTCCCCCTGCAGCGCGGGACTTGGAGACTTTCCCAGTCTGGCGCCTCCGGGCACCAGTCTCCGCGGCCAAACTCCCGCCGGGCAATCCCTGAGCTACGCTAGCCCCGGGTGGGAGTTCTGGGGGCGAACGGGGTGGATAGGGTGGCTGCGCCGGGTGGGGATGTTGGCCTCGAGTCTTCTTACCTGGCAGCAAGAACAATCCGCAAAAAGTTGCGGCGAAGCCGAGGACCCACATCCTCCCGGAGCCGCGGGGCAGGGAGCGGGCAGGCGCATCAGAGGCGGCGACCGAAGCGGAGGCTGCCCGGGCCGCAGCGGCTGCGGCTGCAGAGGCTGCTGGGGCCCGCGCTGCTGCCGCCCAGGCGACGGCCGCCGCCGAGAGGAGCCGCAGGTGTCGCCCTCGGCGCCCGCATCGCCCGCGCCGGGGCTCGCAGCTGCCGTGCGGGTTCCCGCTCCTCTCGCTCACTCTCCTGGGCCAAGTGCCGTGCCTCCGGAGTTGGCGGCTGAAGCTGAAGAACTACAGGCGACTCCGAGCACCCGAAAAAGTCTCGCCTCTTCCTCCCCCTCCCACGCCACGCACCACGTGACGGCTGCCGAGTTGGGGAGGGGGTGGCGGGCGGGGAAAAGCGGGGACCGTCGAAGTCCCCACCCCCTTCCTGCGGCCCACTTCTCCCGCCTCCGCTGTTCCTGGGAAAGGGGCGCCGAGGGGTAGGAGGAAGTGTAGTTTTCACAGGTTAGGGGAGCATCCGAGAAGGCGCAGCAGGTACCTGGGGACCTGGCGGGCGCAACTGGGGGACCCGCGTGGCGGGGTCGGGAGACCGAGTGCTGGGCCAGGCCTCGAGCGCCCTCTGCTCCCCCTACTGATAACGGGCACCCAGCCACTGGGTCTGGCCCACCAGCCAGAGCTTTAGTGCCTCGGCCGCTGGGCGACTCTTGGGGGCGGTGTGGGGGCCGTGTACCCGTGCACCTGGCAAAGTTGCACACCCGCAGGCTCCCTGGGGTGTCCGGAGCTGCAGCGCGACCTCCTCCTCAGAGAGGCCCTCAGGACAGGTCACTGCCGGGCTCGGCCTTCACAGGGTGGGTAGAAGTGTGGTGGGAACCCCGACCGCCGTGCAGGTCCTGGCCACCTTCCCTTCGCCCTCTGGCGCGCGCCACAGGAGGGGGCACTGACACAGCCCCTGTCGCCTAGCACAGAGGCGAGCCCTAGGGACGACCTTTTGGAGAACCCAGGAGCAAACAAATCCGGGCGAAGAGGACTGCTTTCCTCCTCCCTCCCTCCGAAAGGAGGGGCAGGCTTCCTTCGGGCCCCTAAGGCCAAGAGCTACAAGTATACATGCTGCGCAAGGCACGGTTCCTGTCTATGACTTGGACACTGGCTCTTCCTCCCACGTACCCCAAATTTCTCTTCACCAATTCCGAGTGACACCCACCTTGCTTATTCCCCGGACGCCACGGGGCTGTTTTTCGCCTTCCGCGCGGAGCTTTGCAGCAGGTGGTGCCGGAGTCTGCGTGCCCGCCCGAGCTCGTTTGTGCCCCCACCCCCAATCCCGCCCATTCCCACCCCTTTACCCCAGATCCCCAGGGAGCATCCATTTCCGTGGAAATAGCCTCCTAAACTTGGCCCCTTTTCCCGCCTCCTCGTGGGGAAGCTTTCTCAGGCTGGGACGCAGATCGTTTATTTCCCCATCCTGCCAGCAGAGCAGGTCTGGAAATGGGCGTAAATGACTTTCTTGTAATTCCTCTGCAGAGATCCTTCGTGTCTGCCTCGGGCTCCTTCACTGCCTTTGCAGCCCCCCCCCCCCCCCCTTTCATTTCTAGTTGGTTAACCCCTCCGGGAGACTGAAAGGCTCTATTACTCGCCTGGCCTGTCTGCAGGCTCTGATCTTACAATTGGCTGCATTACTATCTTGGGAGCAAAAGGGCCAGTTTGTTTATTCCTTCGGGATAAGCCGTCTTCAGAGCACGTGTGAATCACTACCGGTATAACTGTGTGGGCCAGAGGGTCCTTGAGCAAATTCTTTTCAGCATATGGAGGGGTACAATTGTGATAGGGCTTTATTCGGAAATGAAACAAAAGGATTTTTAAAAGCCTGAAAGACAAGGCCTCTTTACATAATTTTCATTTAGGGTAACAAAATTAAAATATAACAAATTGCACAAATTAAAATAACACTGATAATACAATATTCTTTAAAGAAACAATTGTGTGCTAAAGTAACCAAGTAGATGCTAAAAGTGTCTCTACTATGCCTAGTTTACAAGCTCCTGTACAAAAGCAATTATAAATAGTTCACATCTAGAAAAAATACACATAACCTTTAAAATAGAATTTATCCTTACATATCAACAGTCTTTGTAGAAAAAAAGGATATTAAAAAGTAAGAAATTTTCTTAGCACCAACCATTGATTTTATTGTTAAAAAGTGAACATAGCAAATAGAAATTTGTTTTCATTTCTAGAGTACCCAGATTTTAATTTTAAAAAGTAGGAAGATAAAAATCATCAAATAACATCAAGAATCATTGAGAAGCACTAAGTAGAAGAGGATATAAGGAACTGTCTAGAGGGAAAAACCAATGGAAATAGGATTAGGTTGCTTCTGGACATAGGGTCACATTTCCCAGTGTCCACACTTCATTTTTCAGTGAAAGCAGAATTATTATTAAAACTTAAATCTCTCTTCAATTTTACAATTGCACTGCAATTAAAAACATCTATCAAAATAAGACTGCAAGATGGAGATGAGTAGGATCTCTCTGGTTTTTCCACAGGCCGTGTTTTAGGTTTACAAATAATTTGAGGACTACAATGAACTTCACAAAATCTTTAGTTGGTATTTAAAAAAAATATATATTATCATCAATTTCTAAGACTTAGTACATCATTTCAAGAGCATGGCACAGATTCCTTTTATTGCTATGTTTTTCTTCCCTACAAATATAATTTCTCTTCCAAAAAATTTACAACTTCTGTACAAGTATTTTAAAAAGTGCAAAATTAAGAATTCTGTATCATGTTTACTTTTATTCCTCTTGAAACACAACAAATGGATTCACTATTTATTGCCCTGTCTGAGAAACAAGCCCTAGTGGGTTGCCTGCTGTGTACTTGACAAGGTAGGCGCTGGTGTTGCAATGGTTTATGGTTAACAGCTCTATGTCTCCCACCCCCTCCCTGCTTTCTTTTTTAAGTGGACTATTCCCAGCTCTCACTAAGGGGCTAAAAAGTCCTTTATATATCATTTGAACCTTGACTTGCACAAGAAGAAAAGCTATCATATAAAGAATCACTCAAAGATTCCAAATTGTCTACCCCAGGCCTATCTGAGCTACTTAAAGATGCCTCTTCATTTTTTTCTCTTGCTTCCTTTTGTCCTTCAACCTTGCTCACAGAGTTCTCTTTTTCTAATAAAATCACAGTATTGCTGTTAAATTTATTGAATGACTCAAGGGAAATTTTAGATAATCTATGCTCAGGATCTTCTTTTGTTTCTTCAACTTGTTTCAATTTCTGCAATAAAAAGAGGAAAATATTAGAAACATATTTCTTTGGAAAATCAAGTTATCCTATCCAATATTCAATTATTATGTGTATAAAGTGTAGTTTAAAGAGATAGAACCTACAAGTCTTTAACAATCTTCTAGTATAATTAAATGTAATAATAAAACCAATTTTAGAGATAAATCAAGACTTTAATTATTTTACTGAGATAAATAGGTCCCAATTTACAAACCAGTTAAGTGCCATTTAATTTCATTTTAAATGAGTCCATTTGAAATTTATTCAGGTAAAGTGCCTTATTTTTCTTAATCGAAGTTTCAAACTCTGATTCCTTGCTAAGTGTTAGTAGGAATTTTTCTAAATATAGATATGTATTGAGTTTCAGCCAGAAGTTACCGTAATTTGAAAAAAAAAAAAGGGCAGAAAATCCCTTAAATTGCTATAAAATTTAAGAGGATATTAAACTTGTCAGAAGCATTATCATGTTTGCATTTCATCCCTTTATGGGACTTAAAATACTTGAAAGAGATCTCTGGGTCTTTAGCTGTGGCTTCCAGAAGGCTCAAGTGTGTAAAACCCATAGAAAAAGGTGTGCAGTTTAGTAACTCCCCTGTCCAGCAGATTCTAGTAATATCCCAGGTTATACTGGGATATTTGTAGGATGTTATTAGCACCCTCTAGAACTTCATGAAACACTGCAGTCACACTCAGTAATCACTGCAGATAGCCCAGTGAACAGGATTGTGTTCAGTTGCTCAAGTCCCAGTCAGGCTGGCGAGGACAAAGGGAAGCAGAGATGCAGAAGACCATGAGAAGAGTGAAAGTGTGAAAGCCTCTAAAGTAGTTCTCATTTTCTTTTCTTTCAGGCAAAAATTCCATCAAACAGAAGGAAGAAGCAGGGGCAGGGCTTAAAAACGATGATAGCTGCAGCTTACTAAGCAGCCACTAGGTGAAAGGCTCTTGACAGATTTTCTCTACCAGCCTTTTCACACCTGAAAGTTATGTTTAACTCACATTTTACTGTGTTTGCAACCCATGTGTTCTTTTTAAGTTTTATTTTATTTTTAACTGACACATAACAATTATACTGTGTATGGAATACAATGTGATTATATATATAGTAATGATCAGATATATATATAGTAATGATCAAATCAAGTTATTTACCCTATTACCCCCAACATTGATCTTTTTTTTTTTTTTTTTGGTACCGGGGATTGAACTCAGGTCCTTGCGCTTGCGCAGGAGGTGGTAAAACGACTGAGCTAAATCCCCGGCAACACTGATCATTTTTGTGGTAAGAATGTTTAAACTCCTCTCCTCTAGTTATTTTGAATTTTCTGATAATATTGTTATACTTTACACCAGAACATCAGAACTTGTTCCTGTTCACCCATTTTAAAGATGAGGAAAACAAGCTCACTGTGACAGAATAGTTGCCCAAGCTTGCAGTGCAAGGGACAGAAAACAGATTTAGAATTTCAATGTGACCCATGCTCTTATTCTGCTAAACCATGCTGTTACAGAGGGGCAAGATATGTGCTTTCATGTTGTTACCCAAATCTTCCATTTAAATGATAGACCAAAGCCATATATAGTTCTGCTTCCCAACTTGCCCCTGGCCCATGTGATGATGCTGGACTTCAAAAAGGCACAGTGAGGAAATCGAGTTTCTAGAGAGGCAGATAGATATGGCCACAAACCTATGGATCTCACAGCAAATAGAAGGAGAAAAGCGAGACGGAAGGGGAGGACTTCGGGCTCCCAAGAGCAGGCACAGAGTTTCTCTGCTATGGGAAGTGGTGATACTCCAAGGGAATATCTGAAGGTCAGCCTTAGACTAGCGGTTCCTTCCTCATGCTATGAACATGCAGGCACATCCTGCAAGAGTTCAGTTTCAGTCTCAGGTGGCTATCTTGAAACCATAGGGGGCCGAGCAACAGATTTCTAGCCGACTGTAGAACAGGGATTCTCTGATGAAGAATAACTCTATGAAAGAGCCCCTTTCTATGTTGTGCCAATTTTTTAGCATTCCTTTTTCCACAGAATTATATAGCACAGTATTAAAAATACACGGGGAGTATGAAATGCTTTGGAGAGAGTAAACATTTACCTTCATTTACCAAATTGTAAATGTGCATTTACATTTAGGTACATAAAAGGCATTCAATGCAATTTTCTCCTCACTTGGATGTCTTAGTCCTTTCTCTTTCAAAACTGCAAGCATTTTTCTCCCCTGTTTCTGGTCTATGTAGATCTCAACATCATTAAAAAGATACTTATTAGGGCCAGGGATTTAGCTCAGTGGTTCTGCTGCCTGCTTTGCAAGAGCAAGGTCCTGAGTTCGATCCCCGGTACCAAAAAAACCCAAAACAAAACAAAACAAAACAACATCAACAACAAAAAAAATACTTATTAGAGAAGCTACCACAAAGTAAACAGAAGATCTGGGTGCTGAGAATACACGGCTGATTAATGTTGTTTCCTATAGGGGAGGTTGGACCCTTCCCTTGGCTGTGGCAGTGGCTGAATGCATCCTTCTTCAGGTGTAAATGGTGATGAGACACACTTGAACTCCAGGATTAACTAAGGTTTTAGAAATAAAGTACTATAGGCCTCTGGTACATAGAAGATGCTTAATAAATGTAAGGCAGCATTCTTATTCTAGGACAGTGTTTCTCAAAATGTGTTCCCCAGAAGAGCAGTAGCATCAATATCACTAAGGACCTTGTTTGAAATGCAAACAGAACTACTACATCAGAAACTCTCAGGTATCCCCCCTTCTTAACAAGCTTATATAATGATTCTGATGAACACTAAAACTGAAAACCTAGACTACAGAAATTTGTAGTCTTGGAACATAGACAGATAAAATGTATAATTTGGGCTAGAAGAGTAGGGCAGACCTGTAATCCCAGTACCCTGGGAGACTGAGGCAGGAAGATGCAGGTTTGATCCTAGCCTGGGTAACTGAGTAACTTAGGGAGACTATATTTCAAAATAGAAAATAAAAAAGGCCTAGGGATGTAGCTCAGTGTGAAGGTTCTGGGTTCAATACCCCATACCACACACATACACACAAAAGTATAATTCTGTATATGAAGGCTGAGGTAAGGAAAGAATTTAAAACATGCACTGTCAATGGGATGGTACATCACCTTTTCTAAAGGTTTCAAGCTTTAAGGTTGTTTTTTTCAGTTAAATATAACATAGG